CTTTCCCTTGCTTGGACGTTTTGAAAATTCTGCTAGATAAACCTGCAGCTGATCTGATCTAGTGCCAATGATTCATGGGATAATTTAGTTTGGAGGGGACGTCCAGGGTTCATCTAATCCAAACTCTTGCTCAAAGCAGGTCCAACAAGATCAGGCTGCTGCAGGTCTTGTTAAGTGTTGAATGTGTCCAGGAATGGAGAACCCAACCTCTCTCAGCAATGTGTGCCAGTGTTTCACCATCCTGACAGTGAATTTTTTTTCTGTATATATAAACAGAATTTCCCATGTTCCAACTTGTCTGTCGACTCTAATGCTATCATTGTGCATTTCTGAGAGAAGTCTGACTCTAGCTTCACTATACCTTCCCTTCATACTTTAGAAAGTTGTCGTCAGCAATAAAATGTCCCCTTAATGTTGTTTTCTTAAGGCTGAACAAACCCAGTTCTCTTAGCTGATCTCTTCTGATGTCTTGCAGCAGCCCCCTAACTATCTTGGTAGCCTTCCAGTTCACATGCTCCAGGATGTCAGTGTCAGTCCTGTACTGGGAAGCCCCAGCTGGGGTACAGTACTCTAAATGCAGTCTCACAAGTGCAGAATAGAGGATAAGAATCTCCTCTTTTTGCCTGATGGCTACAGGTTTGATAATACAGCCCAGAATATGGTTGGCCCTGGTTGCCCCAAGGGCCCATTGCTGACTTGTGCACAACTTTGGTTGGATTGTGGCAGTCCCAACTTTCTCAGAGAAGAAGCTTGAATAATCTCTTTCTAAAACTTGGCAATCTCTGTCCTAGGCTGTAGAGAGGCATTGTCTAAGACTAAATTTCAGAGGCACTCTTACTGCTACACCTTCTTAAGGTGACACTGTCAGGCCTTCAGGGATGAATGCTGTACCCTGAGCCTTTAGGTAGCACAAGTATTGTTCTATGTTTCTGTTGTGTTTGGGGTTTTTTAGCAAGTACCACTACTTTGCGATGCCTTGCACTTGTGAATGCCAGAGAACCTGAAAGTTGTGGAAGGAATTGCTTTCTCCTGGAACAAGCCTGTCCGATGCTGCATTTTTCATATCTGATGTGGAAAATTGTCTCCCTTCTTGTGAATAGGATGAAGTTCATTGAGGCTTTTGTAGATCAGCTGATTAAAAGTTATACTGCTCTGTAAAGAAACAGCATCCCTGTGGCTTGATGGTAGTACATCCATGTATGCAATAATTTTCTCTTATTTTGTTAAGCTGTTTCTGTATCACAAAGTTAACAGCAGAAAAAGGCATATTAGGTGATTTAGTTCATCTTCTGCCAGATGAGCAATGTTCACTGCTGTGCTGTTGTTCTGAGCTTCATCCAGGTTAGTTTTGAATGAATAGCAAACCATGTTTCGGAGATCACAATCTGGATACTTTAAAGCTGCTTGAGTCTTCATTCCCTGCTGATTTTTGCTAGGTATTAGATGTCTGTACTTTTATAAAAATCTGGCATGAAGAAAATTTACTCTCATACGCTAACTTTGTATTCTGATACATTGCAGTTTATTTAACCTAGCCCATCTACTCAAGGGGAAATGCAAAAGTGGAAAAAAGCCAAAGCTATCATGATTTTAATTATTTGAACCAGGAGACCTTTTGGTGTACTAGTCCTTAACTTGAAAAACTTTAGCTGCACTATGACCATGTGAGATACCTAAGTAAGGAAATAAGGGGTATCACGTTACTTCACAAATGAACAGTCTGTAGCACAAAAGTGAAAATAATCTTCAGGAAGTTACAGTTTGACTGCCTGTATGGTGAGATGGGTATGGGCATAACCTTAATTACAGTCTTTCGCTAGCACAAGATCTAGCACAGCTGGGTTGTATGCCTGTGATTGCTGTTCATGGGGCAGACTGACTGTGTTTCCCTTTCTTTAGCTCTTGTAAAATTATCATAGAGACCCTCCTTCAGCCTTCTGTGTGTGTGTGTTTCTGGGAATCAGAGTATGACAGGATTCATGTTCAGCAGGGACATTCTGTCAGATCAGAAGGGTGCAGCTGGGAAGATAAAGGTCAAAGGAAATGATCAAATATGTAAATTTAGTTAGGGCAATTTGAGTGCTAGCTGATTGTGAGGGAGAGAAGGTCATCAGTATTGCTTGACTCTTGCCTTAGTTGGGATCGTATCTGTTTGATTCAAAAGTGTTTGCAGGACAGGGAATTAAACTGTGTGGAGCAGGAACAGAAATAGAAAGAATATTTTAAAAGCACAGAGAGCAGCAAAGGTCAGCTTGACTCTGCACCTAAATTTGGCAGCTGGGTGCAGAGCTCGGTCTGTCAGACATCTGAAGAACTCATTTGTTTGTGGAGTTACCTGAGCTTTTGATTGACAGTGTTACCTGATGTGTTCCTTTGCTGTTCTGAGTTCACTTTCAATGCACGGAATGCTATTTTTACACTTTTCAGCACAGATGCAATGTTCTGTGGTTTTATAATAATAGGCTAATGGAAGCTTTAAATAAAAAAAAAATAAAAAAAGAGAAAAATTTGCTTAACAGGACAAAAAAAGGCATTATATGATATTTCTAACTTGTCTTCAGTTAAGAATTCACTATGAAAATTTCCAAAGTCTGAAATGTATCTGGTGGATCGTAGACGGTAAAGATTTTTATCAATGTTTATAGGTTTCTTTTAAAGGTCAAGAAATGTCATAAGAAAGGATTGAAAGCACTTCATGTAAATCGTTCCTGGAACATATCCAAGTGGCTTTTATCTCCTGGTTTCGATTTTTTTTTTTAAAGAGCTGTAGGCAGTAAAGCCACTTTTTCTCCACTTAAGAACAACCGGAACGTGGGGAGAGGGAGAAACCAGGGGAAGGAAAAAGGACTTGGTGACAAACATCAGTTTAATTTTAGGTGGAATGCGTATGCCTTCATGCTGAAGGGATTCTGTTTGTCTTTGGCTAGAGACTACAAGATGACACCAATCAGTTGACTATCTTGAGGATGTTATCAGGGATAACCAAACCATGTTTTGGTGCCTCTGAGATTCATTGTAATACTGGGTAATTGAAAACAAAAGGCCTGGTGGTGCTTGAAATATTCACGCTTGGAATAAAATCTGTGAGGCTGACACAATCGTATGAATTAGAGAGGAAGGGAAAAACAGAGAGCAGCAACAGATTCATTTATCCAGTGAAGTTAGTGGATTCCCCCCGCCTTTTCTTCTCTGTGACCCAAAGTTAGTAGAAAACACTGTTTGTGTTTGGACTTTTTTTTACGAACTGGTATTTGTTTATTTATTTTTAACACCAGAGCCTTCTAACTAGTAAAATTTGACAGATGACAAAGAAACTTCCATGTGAGGATACTCATTGTGCAGACTGCCTGTGTCAGTGACCTGATGCTATCAGGATGGCCAGCCCCTGTCTGCAACCAGTTAACAAGCTGGCCCACGGTCATAGATCTGATCCTGCCCCCTCGCAGTCTGGACAAGGGCCAGACTGCTCTCTCAGGTTCTAATCCACTCAGCATCTAAGCTCTCTGCTTCTCTGGCTCTGTGTGCTGCAGTGTGCCTGTCCCTACTCTCTACCATGGCCTCTTTTGCTGGGTGCTAGGGTTGCCTTTTCCTCCTTTGGCTCATGAAGTCTGAGCAATTCAAACTCACGCTTTCCCTTGACTCCAGCTGTGGAGGCTACATAGGCGACAATTTAGAGCATGTGCTAATCATGAGTAAACAGCAGCAGATTTTCCTTAAGGTTTTCAGTGTCTTGGCTAGTACCAGTACATGTGCAGGTTTAGGCAAAATTAATAAATCCCACGTACGTTTTTTTGTTGGAATGATTCCTCACCTAGATGGCCCATCTGATATTTAACTGTGTTCATGTATTTATTTATTTTCTTGATTCTCTCAGGCATATTGCCTGTCTTAGGCTGCCTGTTTCCAGAGTGTCTGGTCAGCATGCAGCCAGCAGAGGCAACACCTAGTTGGGCAGTTCTGCCATGATAGTCCTTTCAGGAGCACTCTGAATGAAAATCATTAAAAACCTCATCATCTTTCTCCAAAACTAAATTGGGAATAAATTCTACAGGTCTTCAACTTCTCTTTTCACAGCAGAAAGTCTGAATCAAAAGGGCTGGATAGGTATTTGGGGTGTTGTAAGCAAATTACCTTGGAGCCTTGATTTTGAGCTTTCAGAGCTTTTATTCTGAAGAAAAAAATGATCACTTACCTTGCAGCCAAACCAGAGCATTCAGCAACACCTGTGGAATCTCAAGTGTAGAAAGTGAACTACAAATTGGCTTCTAGGCTATGGTTTTGTTTGCTAGACCCAGCACACCAGAGAGGAAAGCAAGGAGGGAAGGATATGGGCTTATGGAAACTGGTCATTAAGGTTATTGGACCTTGTAACGTATGAGGAAGTATCTGTGCTTGTTACAAAATCAGGCTTTAGAAAAGCATGGGCCCCAGAATAGTTCTCTCATCTTGAAAGCATATGCAGATATAACAAACGAGTTCTTCACATAGTTGTCTGGAATTTTCCATAACAGAGAAAGAGAGCAGAAGAGGAGCAGATGAGGTTTCTTCCCCCACCCCATCCCTATAGCAATACTTCTGACTGTGCTGGTAGTCCTGCTGATAAAGAGTAATTTAGAGTTTGTAAGAGGTCTTCAGTGCCCATCTTTGGAGAGCTGCTGTGTAGTTGCAACTTCATTTAATGAAAACAAAGCTTCACTAACTGGTGTGTGATCACCCAGTATTCATAGAAAGTGATATAACTCTCATATTTACAAATATACAACTGTTTTCTGCTCTCTAGTTTGAAAAATTATTTTCAAGAGATTGCTTCTATTGATAACCCCCAGAAGAATACTGTAGCAGTCATCTGCTTGCTTCCCTTACCATTTGCAGTGATACGGTATACAAATTATTTTATAACTTTGTAATTGTGATTCCTGCTTTGACTACTCTGAAAAACTGTAGCCTAATTAAATAATTGTGGCCCTTGTGGTTTTTTTTTTTGAAATACATATTTGCAGCTGAGAGTTACAAGGAAACCCAGATGGTAAAGATAAAGGAAGAACCAATGGAAGTTGACATTCATGATTCGCAGGCTTCAGTGTCACCCAGCCAACCCAGCCAAAATGTTGGCTACAGCACTTTATTAGGGCGAGACATTAGTGAACACATACAGAAGGCACCAGAAGGTCGTGTGCTCCCAGAAAGAAGTCTATTCAGCCAAGATATATCAGTAAAGATGGCATCCGAGCTGCTCTTCCAGTTATCAGGTAAAAGCAGTGGAAATAGTTGATCGTTTAATTTAAAGAACAAAAAGAGGTTGTGTATAACCATTAAGGTGCAATGAAAGTGTGAGATTGCTAAGGCTGAAAAATAATAGGAGTTAGAGCCCTTCTACCCTCACACTTGGAACGCAAGCGCCTTACCAAATGTCCCCCATAGTTAGCATATGCTTTAGAGCATGTGACAGTCAGGTCAGGTTCACAATATTTGAACTGAACTGGAAAAGCTGGAGTTCAACTCCTGTATTTTTGAAAGCTAATTAAATAATTTGTGACAACTGGTTGATCCAGGCCTTGGAGTATAGGGGAACCCATAGGTGGCAGTTACTGGCATAAGTGGCCAGTGGCTGCAGCATGCAATGCTCCTGGGGCTGCACTGTCCATTTCTCTTGTCAAAGAGGGTGAACCTCAGCTATTACATAAAGGCAACAATATCAGTACTGTGTTTAATGAATGCTTGTATTGCACATTTTGCATATGGGCTTATGCACTAACACTGAAATATGAAGCTGAAAAAATTTTTTGGGTGTTAGTTTAAATAAAGTCATGCCCATTCTCTAATCATGCTGTAACCATTTACCCTAAATTACTCTGGATTATGCTGTTATCAGAAAGCATTAAAATAGTTCTGCTGAATAAAACCTGTTAGGGAAAATATGATATATGCTAATCACAAAAACCCTTGTACGTTCCTCTGCAGAAAAGGTGAGCAAAGAGCACAACCACAATAAAGATAACGCCATCAGAACTACAGCCAGGTAAGTACAGTCCATTGTTACCTGCAAACCTGTAGCGTAAATGGCATTGCTTCATTTTGCCTTGTGAACTCAAATGTGCCAATCTTCTGCAAATGTGACCTGATATTACAACTGTAAGATATTTTCATGAGTAATGTAACCTGTATCTGAAAAATTACACCTATAGATCTGATTGCTTAGAGTTCATGAGACAAAAGGCCTTTGGGCCAAAATGACTTTTCTATTCTGATCAAGTATTCACACATCATTTTAAGAATTATTTTTTCTACAAAAAATGAAACTTAAAAGAAACTGCATAGTGCTTGCAGTGCTTGAGGGAAGAACAGGCTGACAACTGGATTTTAAGACATGGACCAATGTAAGAAGAGGTGATTTTGATTCAGTCTTCTGTCAAACTTGGATTTCTTTAATAAAATTTCAGTTTAGTATTTTTATCATCTCAATGCCTTCTAGAGATGAATTTTTAAGTCAGACTGTACGAAAATGCTAATGAAGCATTTATTAAAGATTATGGTCACATTAGTACAATAAATGAAATCATCCAGGAATTAAAAATATGATCCAATTAGAGCACATGCTGTTAAAGAAATATGCACTTTACAGTATTGTGGCTGGGAACAAGCCCATGAGTTGTTTACATATACGTGAGCAGCAAAGTGAGGTGTCCCTATGAGAAAATTCAAAGCTCTTGTGTAATAAGTGGCACCTAGAATTGGTAAAAACTTGGGAGCCCATGGTGACGAGTAGGCAGGAATTGGCAAGGGTACATTTATTTCCTACCTGGAAGTTCCCTAATCAATGTGGATGTGTTGGAGACTTGAGCACACAGAAGTGACAAAGAATTCCTTCAGACACAGAGTAAGACCTTCTGTGCCTCTGCAGCCCCTTCTACAGAAGTTCCCAGCGTGTTCAGTGCCTGCTAACTAAGACAACTTTGTCCAGACAGAAATTAAAAAGCATTTCAGTTGCAGAAGAAAAGATATCTAAAATATGTTGTTCCTAAATTCCTAGGCCTATCCCATTCATTCATGGTAACTGTAATAAATAAATATTTTGTTTTTAATAAACTGACTAGCTCAGTAAATGTACATTAGGGACTTTTTGAAGTTACAAGTTGAAAGATAATTAAATTGAGCTTTTAACTTCTGGCTACTGTGAATGCTTCCCATATTTGCTAGTTTGGGAATTTGTGGAATATGCAGCCTGCATAGCCTTCCCATGACTACTTAAAAAGCATAAGCCTGAGACATACATATGGAGATAAATGCACATATTGTCCAACTACTCATTAACCATCCAGTGTGCATGGCAGGCACGGGGTGACAAATAGTCAGTTGAAAATAGATTTCAGTGTGTCATGATGTTACCGGCAGGACTGGTGTGAGAATCCAGAGCTACTTTTGGATCTATCAAAGATAATTCAAACTGGAAAGGTTGAGGACAGTTCAAAGATAACTTCACCTTCTTCTGGCTGCCAACTTTTAAGAGAGTAGCACGGTTGGCTGTTGTCAAACTTGCAGTAAGTTTTACTGAGAAGTCCTGATAATGGCTGCTACCCATCAGGGCATGAAATGCTGAGTGCCTGATTCAATTCTTCTGGATGGTTTTCTTATCTTACCTATCTATCAACAGAAGAAGACATGAATGAGAAGAGCTTCTTAAGGGGAAGTGAGTCAGTCTACTAAATCCTGCAAGTTCAAACAGATTGACTTGAAAGACTTTGCCAAAAAAACCCCACCCAAAACCAGACAAACAGCTGGAAGTCTTTACTGGTAAGGGTATGATGCCTTCTCAAAAATAGAATGTGATGGAGCAGCCAGTGGAGGATAGAGGCACTCCGACTGCATTAAGAAAATGTGTTGTGTTGCAGTTTGGCTCACCAGCCTAGATCTGGAGTAATGACAGAAAGGCCTTTGAATCACAGTTGTTATGTGAAGTTTGCTGACAGCTGCAGAGAGCCAAGGTGAGGTCAGTGTTGTCCCCTTTGTGAGTAGCTGGGGAGCAGAGATTAAGCTGTGTCATTGGTGAGAGTCTTAAATCAGCAAAGCCCGGCAGGGTGGGGTACGCTAGCACTTTTTGCTGTCTTATCCCGTATTAACATTTCTAACTGTTGCCTATCTGTTGCTGTTCCTCCTGTGAATATTCCTGGACATTGTGAGCATATACTTCCATATGACTTCGCTTAAGCAGCCAAAACTGGCAAGGATTCCTCACAGTTCAATGGTTGAGTGAGATGGTAGAGCCTGCCATCTGTGCTACGAAGACAGAAAGTGGAGAAGCAAATGATCTGGAAGAGAGTACGCCAGCATAAGATGCCAAGATAAGTTTCTTTCATCTAGAGAAGTGTGTAGCCATAAAACTGGAAAAGTGCAGCCAGAAAAAAAAAATCTTAAAGCTTAATCTTCATCAGAAGGGACTTTGCACAGTGATTGAGAATGATTTATGTAGTTCCTTACTATGAAGCAGGAGCTTCTCCCTCCGTACTTTGCACTGGGAATTGGAGGACATAGCTGCTGAAATAAAAATAATAATAGGGCCAGCACTGAAGAGACTCAGCTGCCATTCTAGAGGAAGGCAGAAAAGAGGTATCCAAGGATGGTTCTGTAATTCACCAGAGGCCGATGGCGGAGAGGGAAATCCTTGGGACACAACGCAATGCAGTCTTCAACAGCAACTTGCTCATGATATATGGGCTAGCCTGAAATAGATAAGTTCTGCATCATCCATTTTGCTTAAAAACAGCAACGAGCAGTGTCCCAGTGACTGAATCTAATGCACAAGCAGGAAGGCCAACATGGAAACCTGAGCAGATTACAAGATCTTGAAGAGTTACAACAGTAATAAAACTTTTTTTATTGGTGTTTTTCTTTCAAATCATTACTAAACCAGTGAGAGGAATGTTGCAATAAATGATGCCATATTTGTGTACAGCGTCAGTCTGTTTTATATTATGTCACCCCTGCATGGGAGTGTGAGTCTTGGAAAAAGTAAAGTTTTGCACATGTGGGCTGGAGCTGTTTTGCTTTATCCTGATCACTTGTTTTCTTGAGTATTATGCGTTGTTCAGCTATCTGCATACACTGAACTGTTCAGGTTTGGGGCAGCTTCATGCCTTACCCTTCAGCACAACCTAATGTTGACTGTGTTTATGGTTATGTTCAGACTTTTGTAGAAATACCCAAATATCCCATTAACTGTCACATATGGAACAGCACAAAACGAATAATGGCCAAAAATCTTAATAAAAAAGTAAATAATGTGATTGCCAAAAGGGTTACATGATCAAGTTAACTAATTACCAACAAGTTTCCCAAATGCAGAAGAGATCTGACTAAGAATTCAAGTGACTCAGTATTGTTCACTCTCTGTAGAAAAACTGTATGAGGGGAGACTTACGCAAGTGTCATTGTTTAGATTGACACCTTGGGTACCTCAACTGGTAGGGTCAACTTGGTTGGTGCTGCTGGCAGATACTTTCTGGGTCTGGACTACCCGCTATGCAATGCTTCGTAAGACCTCATAGTACATTCTTTATCCTGAAAAGGTTCTTGGATTTTATTACTGAATAAGAACAGGCTGCAGAAATGAGCTGGCCTCCTGTCCTGTACCTTTAAAACACCTACTATGCACCAGCCTGTTAAGGATTCTCAATATAAGAGAGATCAGAGTTCATGTAATTCTCATTTTGCTTAGAAGAAATTGATAGTTTATGTGGAGATGGAATACACTGCCTTAGAAAACAGTTTTCTGAGAAAGACTATCCTTTTCCATTTTGAATATTTTGATGTACCTCTTACTGATGCGTGTCTGTACTGTAGAGACAGAATTCTTGCTTCTGTTAGGATCTGTAATTGAGCAGAAACCAAAATACTTCAACAGAAATGCCAATTCACTATTGAAATTGACTTTTCACTGCCTGTTAATTAAAACCAAAGCATGCTATGCTTTTTGGAGTCAAGTAGCTGATAATTTTTGCACTTAATACTCTTTGGGAAGTAACCATTCAGTTAGTTTACATGAATTGTTTTCTGCTTTAAAAATCAAACTCATGGAGTTAATTTCATTCATGGAACACTGTGTCAAAAGAGAACTGTTCAGCATCTTAACCTAAAATTTGAAAAGTTTTGTTTTAAAAATAATTACTATATACCTTAGATTATTAAATAATAATATTTTCCACATTTCCTAATTGCCCTCCCCAGTTCTGACAGTAGAATACAAAGTTTTGGACAGTAGAATACAAATTTTTGAAGCATTAATTTGAATGATCTGTAGTGTATTGTGATATAGAAATCTGAGATGTTGAAATGTAGTTAAAAGCCTTTTGGAAGGACTTCAGTTTTCACTCTTGGATACAATTTTACCAAAGCATGCCTCTTCTCCACACCTTGCCTCACAGGCTGCATATCTTTCAGCATGAATTCTGTAAATGAAGCAGGGCTTTTAACAAGATGGTATTTGTTATAATATTAAGCTGTTAGGGTCAAAAAATTGTATTTACTTCTTCCATTAACCGCTGTTTTGTTTACAAAAAGATGCCTTATTTTTTCCTGTAGCCCTTTCTTTTCTGAAGACACATTTAGACAATCACCATTCACTTCCAACTCAAAAGATCTCCTGCCTAATGAAACTACTCTTCATGGAAGGACAGCTGCACCAGGTCAGATACCTTTTTCTTCCATTACTTCCAGTTAATAGATCTTTTAAAAATTTTCTTACTGTAAACTCCACCACCTGACCAGTGCTCTTAAAATGTAGTCTGCTTTGTCAAAAAGGAACTATCTCTCCATCACAGTAAGTGCTTATTATTAAGAAGAAAAAAGTTAAATATTGCCGAAGCATTTGTATTAATAGTCTTTAAATTACTGTTTCCATGAATTGCACAAGGGTCCATAACAGATTAAACTCAGCAGTATTAACAGAGGTGGGGTTTTTTGGTGTGTGTCTCCCATATGTTAAGGAACTTTACTGATGTCGGATTACTGTCTGCTATTCTCCTGTTACTGGCCATTTCCATCTCCATCTCTCAGACTACAGATTAAATGTTTGCAGTACATGTATCAGAGTGGCTGAGCTTGGCAATACAATTTTTTCCTGCCTTTAACAATAATTTAGAAACTTTTTGGAAGGATGCGGAGTTCTTAAAATGTCCTGAAAGGCCTCAGTATCTGTGGGTACATTCCCACTGATCTTCTGAACTGGTTGACAGGCATTTTACGTCTAGATGTAGCTTGGGTTACATTCTGCAATAAAATGGAAAATATGAGCCTGTAACAATACTATTCAAGGTGGCACTGAACACATGCAAAAACTTGATACGTGCCTTTACTGTCCTGTTGCAAAATAACTCGTTTGCTAGTTCGCTGCTATCTGTTCTTAAATTAATAGCTCTTGGGTTCTAAAGGTCAGTAATTACACAGCCAGCTGTAGGGGAGGTTATTCACCTTTTCTTAGCAATCAATAAAGTTTTGGGCACGTTACTGCTAATTTTCAGCTATAGACTGTCATTTAATTTACAACTTAACAGACCCTTCATTTTTTTTAATGCTTGAATAGTCATTTGACAGCTCATGAAGTGGTAGATGAGGTTAAGAGCTAGATGTTGTCTAAGGGTAAATATGCGTAGCAGGAAGAAGAAGAAAATTTGTAGCATGAGGACAAGGGTCTTCAGGTTAGCCTCAGCTGCGCTTTTGCAAGGAGGTAGTGGATTTTGTAACTGGGGGTGAGGACAACCAGATCAGGTGTGGTGCTTTTAAGTATTAAAACGTAAACCAGGTTAGCACTTCAATCCTGGCTTTTGACCTTGGCATAACATGGAATATTCATATACCCAGATGAAGGACAAGAGCTCTAGACTCCTCAGGCGGTGCTCGATACCTCAGAGGACATGGCCTCTAGCAGCAGTACTCTTACATCATACCAAGATGAATGTATAAGAATTCTAATTCTCTGTAAGACTTCATTTTAAGTGAGACCGCTAAAACCATGGATGGATTTTGGTGACATGTTTAATCTTCTGCTTAAGAGATGTAAAGTATCTAGTTGGTTAGGACATCCTGGAGTGTTAAAACGGCTTCTGAGGGAACTGGGTTTTGTATGTTTATGCTGCCCCATATTCTGCCTTATGGAATATAAGTATTACCTTGATAGGTCTGTGTATTCTAATACATATTGCTCTGTGATTATAAGACTCTGATATGTAATAGCAGCATCTATACTGAAAATTGAAAGTGCCAGTTTCTGCTTCATTTTTATTTTTGGAACAACCCTATCATTCCAAATATGTTGATTTTTCTCAGGCTCATAATAAATTCTTGGACCTGAAGTGCAACTTCACAGTAGCACCAGGAATGTGATTTAAATTTTTAATCAATTACAAATGTGATATTCATGTAAAAGAACAGCAGAATACCCACAGGTAGATTTCCTACTAGTTTTAGCTTTGCAAGAAGAAATAGTCTATGTAGTCCTATGGACAGCTCAGGAGAAACTTTATCCCTGCAGCGAGTAGCATAAAGGAACAGTAACAAACCATTGTAAAGGCCAACAGGACAAACCAGAAACTGCTGTGGAAATGTTTATGTGGTGTCCCATGGATAAATGGTATATATGCCTTCACTTGAAATTTGTTTTGGGTTACTTCATCCCTGAAACAGGATAGTAAGAAGTAGAAAAGAACAGCATAAGAAAATGACAGGAAATTCCCAGTCCAGTGTCATCTTCAAGTCATCAACTAAAATCCAAGCGGATTAACTGCTAATGGCAAGAGTGTTCATTAAGCAGTCCCCATATCCAAAAATGCGACTCCGTGCCACCGTCACCACAGCTAGCAGATTCTGATGAGCAAGCATGGGGTCTGAGCTGCTGCTTTGTACTGACTCTGTGACCAGGCTTGAATCAGGCAGGCAGAGTGGCATGAGGAAGCCTTCACTGCCAGTTGGTCTGGGTCGCCTTGGTGGAACCCCATGTACATAGTGCTTCTTTCCAAGAGAGCACCAATATGGGCGGTTGTATCCCCAGACTCCTGCCAACTTTCTGTCTGCAGACTTCTTGGCACCCTAGCTGCAGAAGAATTGGGAAAAGTGACAGGAACATAGGACAGTAAGATATCTCATGTGTCAAATTCAATTCTTTTCTATAATGGGTAACAACATTACATAATCTCATTCATTATCAAGATCCACCTTAAACCTGTCATCCTTATTTGTATGAGGACACTGTTTCAGAAGCTCGCCCCTTTGAAGGGCTGGGACCGCTCTTTTTTTCAGCCTGCAATTATTCATAGCAAGTTCTACTTTTGTTGTTTCACCAATGCTGTCCTTCAACTTTGATAATTCTTCTCCCTTGTGATATTCACCATCTGATGTGCCATCTTACATCCCCCTAATCCTGTCTTCATTTTGGAAAAGTAAGCCAGCCAATGTCTTTTAGTCTCTTTTAGTATGATAGGGTTTCCATTTCCTGACCGAGATCAGGCCAACAAGGCCTTTTTCTGCCTCTGTTTAGGGAAAATAATTTCTGCAAGTATGAGTAGTCAGAACTATATATGCTATTTTACAGGAGATCTTACCAATGACTTTTTCAGCAGCATGCAATCTTCTACATGTATATTGGAAATGCCTTTCCTGTTTGATCACAGTCGTAACTACAACATGCTGATGAATCTCAGTTCATTTGCTAATCAAATAGTAACATGTTTTTCTTTTCCTTTACAATTTCAGCTGATGATTTCAGCATGCAACATAAATTCTTGTTCCTACTTTCTAGGCATATGATCTTGTAATTTGAATTGTTTCACTTGTTACTCTAGTTCTCAAGATTATTTTTTTAATACTCTGAAATTTCTGCATATTGATGATATTGCCTTCATTAATACAATGCTGGGTTGTTTTTGTATTGAAGCTATTAAAGAGGATTTTTAAGTATGGTTGGTCCGAAGTTCAGTCCTTGAGACTTCAGCTTAGTGGCCTCCTCAGTGCAAACCACTTCTCTTCTCTTTGTAGCCAGTTTATAAGATAATTGCAAGATCATGTATTTAAGAGGAAGAGCACTCTTTGTAGGGCATTGAGTATATAAGATCCCCAAGGAGTATGAAATAATTAGGAAAGGCGTATTAAAAGATATGTGAGAGCAATGCACTGATCAGGGCATTTACTGGAGAAATAAAATCCTAAATAAATAACGACATAACAGTGGATTTGGCCTGAAGTAAAGGTGAAGTAATCCTGATCAGCAGCAGTATCACAGGCAGGAGAAGTGATTCTCATGCAGCAGCTTTTAAGTCTGGTACCCAAGGAAATGACAATGAAATCTCCAACAGCTGTCAGAAGGGGACTCGACAGCCCTGCAGAAGTCATGGTAACTCCCTGATAATCTGTGGTGCATTCTTAACATTCTGAGAAGAGAAGAAAGTAGTTTCCTATAGTATGTAGTTCAAAAGTATTGGATAGATTTGGGGAACTACTTCCATTCCTTTTTAAGGTATTTTGTATGTTAATAACCATACAAAGTTAGTAGTAGTTACATTATACTTTCCTGAATTACTATTACTGTCCAGATAAGCTCATTTTTACTCAGAAATGGAAATAAAATGGTATTGATGTCCACATTAATCAAACACACTTCACTCAAAAATTACCATAGTATCAAAGTCATATCTAATACAAAGTCATATCCAAAACAAGGCAATAATTTCAGCTTTCCCCTATAAGAATAGCAAAATGACCTTATTTGGCCTAGCAAAATGTAGGGAGAAGAAATGAAAGTTTTAATTTCAAACAGTCGCTTTAAAAGGGCGTTTTTATCTTCTGTTTTGTAAGACTCTTCTTTTAACAGAGTAGAGTTTAGTTTTATGTCAGACTATATAGTTCAGTCCAGATCACTAGATAAATTAAAAACTTGATCTTACGCTGGTGTTCCTGACCCTTAGCCAATCTTTAATGTGTTTTAATAGTTTTCCACTATCTCACTGACTCATTCTGTAAATCAAACCTGCCTTCGTGAAATCCAGATGAGTGATATTCACTATTCCTTTTCCGGTCAGTTCATTAATATTGGCAAAGAGTTTTGGGGAGTATTTTTCTCTATGTAGATATGTGTGTGGTATAATAATACTTCATTATTTTCTCTCCTGTTCACCAAGGACCTGGTATTCTCCTTCATTTACATTGACAGTGCCAAATATTGAAACAATCTCATCTGTAGAGGATTAAATAAAAAATAAAAATCCATCTTTTAGTGAAAATTTACTACTTGCAAAACTGTAATTTTGATTGTGGTAAGTGAATGTCACATGGCTAAAATAGACTTTTGGAACTAGAGAATGTAGGTTTTGGGGATTTGTAGTCCATGAATAGCCCTGGCTTTTTTAATTTTGTCCATTGGTGCCAGAGCTAAATTTACTGGTGTTATTTATTTCAATGAAATAAAGCCAATAAAGCTTCTGTCCTCAAGTACCTTTCTGAAAATGTATCAGAGCCCCTTCTGTCACTGTGTCTCCACACTCTTTACTGACCGGCAAGATGACAGATAGGTCATGCTTCCTCTTCAGAAATGTCCAGAAGCCAATATTGAATCAGTAGCATGATACTTAGTTCAGTAGAAAATTGGAAACATAGTGCAAAAATTTTGGATTTTGGTACTGTCAGCTGTATTTTTATC